GTCGACCATGCCACCAATTACACAAAAGGAACGGGAGCCGCGAAGGTAAAGTCCAGGCAGAGTGTCGATGCTATGCGTTACGCAACACTGCCGCCGCTTTCTGTGGTCTACGCGCCAGCGATGGTGCAGGAGGTGGAGGACATGGAGGCTGCAGAGGAGGAGGCGCGTGAGTTGTTCCTGCGTGACCCAGCACGCTACGACTGCGTCGTTGACGATCTCGTAAAGCGCGCAACAGAGAAGGTAAATGAGGAGGAAGAGGCTGAGAAGAAGAAGAAGAAGAAGAGGGCATCTGTAGGCCTCTGGAAGGTGGAAGGGGGATTCTCAATGGTATCTAGTCGGCTGCACGTGCGGCCTTCAGTTTCGACACGTACGTCGACGGTTGTTCCGGGAAGTAGTGGTGAGCGCAGCGACTCGGGTGCGACGCCAGAGAGGCAGCACCGTCCCCAGCAGGAGCAGGAAGAGGAACAAGGGCACCTCGACAAGGCACAGGTGGCGTTCGCCAGCGAACTCCAGCACCACCTTGAGGAGCAGCGGCGGGCGAAGAAGGTTGTGGCGTACATCCTGATGGAGATGCGACGCATGTGGCGACGGCGCGAGATGGAGGCAAACCTCGCTCTGCGCGCCGCCGTCGACCGCTTCATCTACCACTCCGTCCTCTTCGCGTGGCGCTTTGAGCGGCGGCGGGTGCTGAACCTGCGTAAGCTCATCCACCTGCTCGACCGCAAGACGGGCCGCGTGAGCGGGTGGGTGCCGTTCTACGCGAAGGACAACGTCTTGCAGGATCGCTTCGTGTGGGAGCCGGCGCCGCCTCACCTATCGCGCCCGCTGCGCGTCGTGCACCGCGCGATGTGCCTGGCGCGGCAGCAGCGCCTGCTGCCAATACGCATTGTGCGGCAGCAGGCGCGNGATGTGCCTGGCGCGGCAGCAGCGCCTGCTGCCAATACGCATTGTGCGGCAGCAGGCGCGCAAGAAGGTCGCCTCGCAGCACCTGCTGTTTGGCTACAAACGGACGCTGGTGGAGCCTTCCATGACGACCGGTGTGCGGCTTCGCCACGAGCGGCGCTGCCGTTTTGCCGCGCCGTTTCAGCGGCCCTCTGCGAAGTTCTCGCCGCAGCTCGAGTGGCAGGACGGAACGCCGAAGGTCTGAGAAGAGTGCCTGTCAGGAACACGAAGGAGACAACGAAAACGGGCGGCCCGGAGTGGGCGGGTGGGAAAAACGGGGGGAAAAAAAAGATACCGGGCGGCATATTTCTGGGCTTGCACGCCATCAAAGTGAGACGTTGTCGACATGCATCATACACTGAAGGCATGTACGTTTATGTAAAACTCAATGAATGAAAGAGCGATTCTTCTATGTTTGCTTGCCCGGCATTCGGGTCTTCACTCGTTCTTCTCATGCATACACATACACACACACACACACACACACACATTAATGCGTATGACGGAGATTGCATCTCCTCTGATCCGGAAAAGCCAAATTTCTCATATTTCCTTTTNAAAGAGCGATTCTTCTATGTTTGCTTGCCCGGCATTCGGGTCTTCACTCGTTCTTCTCATGCATACACATACACACACACACACACATTAATGCGTATGACGGAGATTGCATCTCCTCTGATCCGGAAAAGCCAAATTTCTCATATTTCCTTTTTTGTTTTGTTTTGTTTTTGTGTGTTTGGGTTTATTTTAAATCGGTGCCGCTTTCCTACACGCAAAAGGCAAACAGGTCAACCAAAGCCCACGTGCATATACACCGCAATGGCGGCGTCAAATATCCGGCTTCCACTGTTGGTGGCGCTTTTACTGCTGCAGCAGGCACTGCTTGCTCAAGGATTTAGTAGCGAGGACGATGATAAATCATCATGGATATCGGCGAGTGAGCCAGATCAAAGCATGATGATGCCGACCCCCACGCGGACTGTGTCGTGGACTAGGAACATCACGCCCTCCTTCACGCTGGCACCCGCCGTGTCGCGGACGCTCTCCCCCACTCTTACGGATTCACCGACGGCGACACCGCAGTACTCGCCAACCATCACTCCAACCATATCGCACACACCGTCACTAGAGGAGTTTCCCGACAATATGTACACCAGGGCAGACAGCTGCGACCTCCCCACTCTTAGTCAGTGTGCGGAAGATTTCTGTAACTGCATTACGCGAGGTCCTCCGGAAGGCGGCAAACACTCGTGGCGTGCGAACAATGGAATGTATACCTGCGATGCTCCTGCCGACACAAACTGTTACTATCACCTCTTCTGCGCACGGGAGCGGGTGGCATGTCTGTGGTCTGCTGCGCTTGGCAATAAAACCTTCAACACGATACCATCCTTCGAGAAGGATTTATTTCCTGATGAACCCGACGATGGCGTCTGCGATGGGCTTGAGCACATCAAAAGCAACTTCAGTGGATTTACGGCGAACATGAACTACTATGACACCATGTTCTACACAGAGTGCATAGACTACGCGACGTTCATCCTGAAGCGAACAGGTGGCGACATTTGCACGCCAATTACGGTTCCTATGTTTGTCTGTGGGCCGTCCCTCATCCCCCCTCCACCCGCACGCCACATCGACTACGCGCCGGTGCAGAAGGGTTCACGGCGTCTCCTCATCTCCATTGCAGCCCGAATCGTGGGCAACTTCTCCGCCGTATTCGCTGCGGAGGAGGAACGCGGCTACGGCGCAAAGAGGGTTAGCAGTGTCGTGCTGCTGCTGAGAGAGGCTATGTACGCCTGCTTCCTCAACGCAATCGGCATCGACGGGGAGTTCACCATGACGCACGTGGATGACTGCCTCGTTATAAACTACGGTGTGGGTGTGGGCGAGGCGGACCCGTGGGTGGGCGATACAGTAACGGCGAATGCGCTAAGTCTGATGGTGCGCAACACATCGTGGATGGCGAGGGCGCAGAAGGTGGTGAGCACTGTCCCCGGTAGCGCGAACCTCAGCGCGCCGATTGTGGTCTATGACGTGTCCTTCGAGCCGGGGCATGGCCAACCCGTGGAGAAGATGTGCGATAGCAGCTGTGTTGCCGGCATCACGGTTGTGTCAGTGTTGACGTTCATTGTGCTTCTCTTGGCGGGGGTTCTTTGTTGTCGACAGCCTCAGAGGGTACAGGGTATCTTTGAGGCTAGTTTTGCTTCCATTGAGGAGATGGATAGTTTCGTTGATGTCGGGACAATAAAGTGAGGCACCAGGGAAGTGTGACAGCAAACGGCGAGGTGGTGAGAGGCCGACAAAAACAACAAAAAGGAATTTAAGTGCGACCGGCGGTTTGTGTGATTTAAACAGACAACGCAGGAGATGGTGAAGAACAGAAGACAGCAAAAAAAGAAAAAAAAAGAAAAGAAAGAGAGGTGTAGAGAGTGCGCAGCGGGCTGTGGTTGCGCCAACCACCGTATCGTTGCCCTCTGAGCATGTGCTTCTTCCTCCTCCTCCTCCCTGCACATACTCTCTTTTTATTTCTTTTTTTTTTT